AAATGTAAATCTGTATTGTCTCGAGTCAAGTATGAATGATTCATAAATCAAGAACAAAGTATTCCATTTGTACAGGGTTTGATCGTGCCCCCCTAACTCAAAATGTCTGCATCCGCCCCTATCTATTGCATTAGGCATTGCCAGTGTTGATTATGGAACTTCTTATATTATTTTTTTAATTTGACTTTGAATGGTTGAATAAAAGTATCTTGATCTGGGAAAGCGATGCAAAATTTCTTGGACATAGAAAATTTTGCAAAATTTAAGCTTTCTTATGGACAAGCGTTCACTCGTGAGAAACTTTTGTTTGTTGGAAATTACATTTGGCTATATATATATATGATTTGTCTTGTGTTTATGCGACATCTTTTCCCTATTTGTCTTTCTTTGGAATGTCAAGACAAAATTAACATACATGCTGGCTAGTTGTCCAGTTAAGAAGAATGCATATTACCAAGACTCTCCAAGGATCAAAGGCATGATCTTCTTGCAGAAGGTTATAAAGTGATCTAAAGTTCTTTTTTTAAGTCAAGTGATGCCTCTCTGCAAGAGTTGTAGTATAGCCTTTAGAGTTTCAATTCTAGACTTGGCTTCGCTGCCTAATTGGCCAGTAACTGCACTGTCTTCCTCTTTTAATAAGGAGTCAAAATTATGAAAATCCTTCCCAGCACTGGAGATGTATTTAGCTTGTGGTTTCAGCTATTTATTCTTCCTCTCCTCTATGTTCTCTATTTTTAGAACTATGGGGAATTCGTACATTTTGCAAGGTCCTTCAAGACCTCTTTACTTCTTTTCTTTTTCAATTCTTTAAGAAAATTAATGGTTGGTACAATAGTCTTAATTTATCAGTGAAAAACAAGGTCCTACATCGGAAATGATTACTTGAACCTTGTTCCTTTCACTCCAAAACTGCTGGTGAAGCATGTTGGCTATAAAACGACTTTTGTTGATTTAAGGTGACAATCAAAAGAGTATCAAGGCACTTCGATCAAATCCATGTGACGAATATGTCTCAAGATAATCAAGGACTAGACAGGAAATGAAATTGATTCTCAATTGTGTACGCTTGGTACACCACAACATAATGATGTTTCAGAAAGAAAAAACATGACATTGTTAGGTAGGTTTAGATTAATGACAAGTTTCACAACTTTACCTATTGACACACTAAAAATACAGTCCAAATTGGATAGCCCAAAGAGTGAAGCCCAATTGGAGGCCCAGGACAAAGGCCTAAATGAGGTCATTGGTAAATGCAGAAAGAGCCCACGAACATAGTAACATCATCGCCCAAACCCGCATGACGCCCAGAGTTTGGACGAATGGAGTGCCTCACTGTCGCTCAGCACGATAACTTCATTTTCGCCCAAACCTTCGAGTCGCTCAGAATCCTAATATGTGAGATATTATGGTCATCTAGAATAGCAGTTACTGCGACAGTTATCGAGCTGATTATCACATTCCACGATTTAAGAAACCT